AAGTGACAGTCAGTCGTGTACCCCACAGTAATGAAATTAACTTTGCTAAATCTTTAGATTGCTATGCTGAAATTCTATTAAATATGGGAGATTTCAAATTATAGTAGACTATTTGCTCTACCAATCACATTTGAGCTCCATAAGTTGAGTGGGAGGAACCCCATTGCTATAAAAGTACAATTAAAAGTATGTACAATTAAATACCCACAAAAGACCCAGTGTGCCTGGCTTGGACAAACATGTTCTACCTTTACATGGAGATATGCCGATACCAGGGAGCTATCACTTTATACTGGCTTATTAACACTTCATGTATCTTGGGCTAGGTAAGTCTAAGAGACTATGCTGTACTAAATTAAACATTTTCTTAAAACATTTTATTGAACAAGTGTTATTTTTGAGCCTCACGTTTCCCTTGTCTTTGTATATTATTAATAACACCTTAATCTCACTAGTAAACCTATTGAGAACACTGACTTTAATGTTCTCTTTCAATGCAACAAAGAAAATAAGAGGCCAAGGCTTGAATAATGGCTCTGAACATGACCTGAACGGAGAAACCAAACACTGAAACCACTGTACTCAGAAGAAACACCACTGGAGGAAAGACACACCAGGGTGCATGGTGTCATGAGATGTCATTAGAATGAAATTTCATGTCCAAAAGCAGAAGGCAAAAGTTTCCTCCCGTGGTTTTCTCTTCCACCAACAATCATGGACTCAAAGCAAACACAACAGATAGGCTTTCTAGCTGTTGAGCTAGAAAAACTATTATTTGTGGCTTTATCGTTTTAATTCGGTAACTATATAGAAAGGATTTTTTTTTAGAAAATTATCTCTGAAAAGGACACTGATCTATTTTTTATAAATAGAATGTGTATAAGAAAACAATGCAAAAAAAAAAAAAGAAAACAATGCAATTTAAGGAAATTATAGCCCAGGTTTTTTTAATAGAAAAACACTGTGCTTCCTATTTAAGTTAAAAATACTTTTCCTTACATGGAGTCCCCGCATAGTCAGTTATCAACGTAAAGATATTTTTTATTCATAGGATATACAGTAAACTATTTGGGTCCGCTGAAAAGCCTAGTGCTTGTGTTTACAGAACTTACACTCATGTGCCACTTTAACGAGTGGAGAAAATACATTTATGGAATTACAGTGACAGCTGACCCAATCACTCTGTCAATCAAACCACTCAGGCTAGTTTGTACTAGTAGGGTTTGTTTCTTTTTTTTTTTTTTAAATACAGATTTTTCAGTGAGGGGATTTTTCAACCCCATTGGTTCTACCTTGTATTTTCCATTTTAATTTCTCCATAACTTAAACCAAGTGTCTCCACTAGGCCTAGATATCTCTCAATTTTGTGCTGGTAGTCATGTTTCTAAGAACTGGAGAGGTAATTTATTGGAATGAACTAACTGACTCCTCCATTCCCCTTTTCCTTCTCTGGCATGGACTTTACTGCTTCACAGATAAAGAATGATGCTGAAAAGCTGCGGTGGTTAAGTTGAAAATACCACTAAAATGATTATGATTTAGAAGTAACTTTCTCCTGCTGCTTTAATCTGATAAATAGTTACTATAGACATACATACATATGACGCTTTCTGACATGGCATCCTGGTTTTGGGCACCAGTTACTTTGGCACTATTCTTGTTGGCCTTTTTTTTGTTTGCCAATGTACTTTACCTCAGTCCTATTTGAAAGACAAATCTTAATTTTAAAAATCTAGAAAGTAAAATGAATGATTTATTCTATAATTTATCATCCATGTCCAGTTGGTTAGCCTGTTATGCAATATAAGTGAATTATCAGGTTTTTATTCTTGTGCCCTTTTAATCATTAAAAATAACACAAAAATTTTTTTAAAAATTTTCCTATAGCGTCTGGGGTCTTAAAGGCTTGAAGGTAAACAAGCGGCCATCTAGCTCAGAAGCAACAAAGCCCACATGGAACAAGCACACCAGCCTGTGCGATCACGAGGGTGTCGAAGGGATCAGGTATAAGGCATCATCAGAACAAAAAATCTTATCATAGTGAATGAGGGGGGTACTGCGGAGTGGAGACCCAAAGCCCATTTGTAGGCCACTGGACATCCCCTTACAGAAGGGTATGGGGGAGGAGACGAGTCAGTCAGGGTGTGATGTAGCAACGATGAAAAATACAACTTTCCTCTAGTTCCTAAATGCTTCCTCCTCCTTCCGCCCACCCCCCATCATGATCCCAATTCTACCTTGCAAATCTGGCTAGACCAGAGGAGGTACACTGGTACAGATGGGAACCGGAAACAAAGGGAATCCAGGGTTGATGATCCCTTCAGGACCAGTGGTGTGAGTGGCGATACTGGGAGGGTGGAGGGAGGAAGGGGGAACTGATTACAAGGATCTACATGTGACCTCCTCCCTGGGGGACGGACAACAGAAAAGTGGGTGAATGGAGATGTCGGACAGGGCAGGATATGACAAAATAATAATTTATAAATTATCAAGGGCTCATGAGGGAGGGGGGAGCGGAGAGGGAGGGGAAAAAATGAGGAGCTGATGTCAGGTGCTTAAGTGGAGAGCAAATGTTTTGAGAACGATGAGGGCAATGAATGTACAAATGTGCTTTATACAATTGATGTAAGGATTGTGATAAGAGTTGTATGAACCCCTGATAAAACGATTAAAAATAATATTTTCCCTAATACCACAAATCATTTTTAACTTTCTGGCTGTGATCAGAGATTGGGAACAATAGCTCTAATAAGCACAAAAGAAAAGGAAAAAGAAAAAAAGACCAATATGGCCAGACTTAAAGAAATAAAAAACTAGTATAGGAGAAAAACCAGGAAATGAGAATAAGACAAAGCAAGAGCTAAAAGACACATACATGCAGATATACTTATATAGGCTCGAGTCAGTTTTTGTTTCCTTGGGTGTATGGTCTACTCAAAAACAAAAATCACAGCACATAATAATGGGTTATCGCGGGCGCAGGGGCACACCGGGAAGTCCTGGGACCACTGGAAGAAGAGCCACCAGAGGAGAACATTCCAGAGGCACCGGAGTCTGCGGCACGAGACCATGGGACAGAGGAAAGGGGCAGTGCGGAACCAGAGGCCGAGGCAAGGAGACTGTGAGGCAGAACGGAGGAGAAGTGCCACGATGATGGGACTTTGCGGCAGAGCAGCAGCCTGGCTTCCGGGACCACAAGGGAGAAGCCACGGGGCCCACGGCTGAGGGGCTGAGGACTGAAGAGAGACCTAGCTACTGGCTGAGGAGAGGTGTTGTGTGGACCACCGGACTGCACTGATCGTAACTTGTGGTAACCTGTTAACCTCCCTAGTAAATCCCCTTAATTGTGAGTTTTATCCAAGTTCTGTGTGGCCGTTGCAACAAAGTATTGAGTCGGTATAAAAGTCGAGTCTCATGGGGAGAAGGGTGGTGTCAGAATAGGTAAAGAGAGATGGAGGGTGGAGGCATGTCTGACCCCTGCCTCCTTTACACTCTAAATATAACTCAGTTTCCAACTTTTGAACAAGGAGGATTAATAGTCCTTTCATCAATAACCAAAGTCACCAAGAATGGTGGGACACAACTGAAAGTGAAATAGCCAAGTCTCTGAGGAAGGAATGTCTGTGGGGATCAGAACAAAGAGGAAATACGATAAAAGTCTAGGCGTTGGGTCCTCCGACTGGAGTTCCCAGCAAACTGCAGGGGAGGAGTCTGCTACGTCCACCTAGTAAACCATGCTTTACTGTGGCCAGTGTTGTCATAGAATGTGCGTGTGTAAAATGAATTAAGTTACTCAAAATGCCTTGTTAGCTACTCATTGCTTGGGACAGACAATACAGGACAAATTCTGGTGTATTATGACGAGGCTAAACTAAATGCTTCAAGAAACACCAAATTGGGAAGAGGTCAGGTTTGGACTTACAGCGGACAGGAGTAAGAAAAGATGAACTCATGAGAAGCTTCGCAGATACCCTGTTTCCCCGAAAATATGACAGTGTCTTATATTGATTTTTGCTCCCAAAGATGCGCTAGGTCTTATTTTCAGGGGATGTCTTATTTTTCCATGAAGAAGAATACGGTACACATTTATTGTTTATTGTTTTCTTGTTTTCTTAAAAGAGACCTCGCACTTCCTGTCTGCTCTGGCTGCGCTGCAGCCAACAGTGAGCTGCGCAATCATGCCCGCTGCTACGGTCCAGAGTCACGGTAGCTTGGGGGGCCTTATTTTCGGGGAGGTCTTATTTTCTGGGGGATGCCTTATATTTCAGCGAGAGACAAAACTATGAGTAGGTCTTATTTTCGGGGGATGTCTTACTTTCGGGGAACCAGGGTAGCAAGAGCTCAGAGAAGGCCTCGCAGGATGTATAGGAATCTGATAAGAAGGGAGGGCATTTCAGTCAACATGGGACCCTCAAATAACCTGCCTGAACAAAAGAAAGAAGCTATGAGAACATATAATGCGTTTAGGAAGCCAAGGGCATTCTAATGAAGCAGAAACAAAATAGAGGGCAGTGGCAAAAAGCTGGAAAAGTGACCCGGAGGAGGTGCAAGAGGGCCTCAGGTGACGCAACCACAGACGGGCACGGCATTGGGAACGCAGCAAGGGGGACTGGAGGGTTTCTGAATGAAAGGATGCAGACAAAATTATAGCCCTGTTTTAGAACGATCACTATGACCATGGAGCGAAGGCTAGATGACTGGAGGATGGAGGAAGAGAGACCTGGCACAGAGGATTACAAAAGGGTGGCTTTGAAATCTGTCATTAGACCTACTGAGTCTAAATCCTGAGCCCCTCGGCCCAGTTTTCATCCACTCAGTTATTCCACATCATCCATTCCAAATCGGAGGCTTTTTTATGTACACAGATGTTAGTAACCAGAAACCCCAGTTTTGAACTTTGAATCAATATGGCCCTAAAAATATTTTCATACTGCTATCTCGTGGCCGTCCCATTTGACCCAATAAAGTCATTGCTGTAGGCCCCCTTCCTTTCTCCTTACCATTACTAGCTCTTCCTGTAACTCGCTGCAGCTTTTCTCGTTATACTGGAGCCTCTTGGAAAAGTCCATAATGACTTTCTTCTGTTCCTCGATCTCTTCAGTTAATATCTTGTTTTTGGAAAAATACTCTCTTTCCATTCTGAAAAGGTAAGGTGTCAGAATGGGTTTGTCAAACAAGGCTTTGGTCAGTGGCTGTTAGCACCGCTGGCAGGGGCACTGTACACATCTTCAGCTCATGCCGAGGGCTTTATGAGGCGCCTTTCCCTTTTTCTGATCAAAAGGCCACATATTCTGAAACGAAAGACTGTAGAGCCATTTACAGTCCTTTGGATAGCAGGCATCTGTACTATAACCAGGGTTGTAAGCAAAATAGGTTTGTAGAATGTTGATCTGGTCTCACCATCACGTTTAAGGAGAGAAAGTTACTTAGCTCAGCAACTGCCTCAAGACTGAGAAAACAATTCTACCAAACAATTTTCTATTTGCAATCCAACCTTAGAAATGGAAGCCATGTCTCACTCCTGAATATTTGTGCACCAGGAATTGATGTGTTGCCATGGTAAATCCAAAACCAAGAATAATCCGAAATCACTCGTATCCGTTGTGAGGACACGGGCACTTACGGGTTGGAATGTGCTCCATGGCATCTAACAGGAACGGCAGCACGCCTGGACGGCCAGGTGTCAGAGCGAGTAAGACTGGTGAGTTGTTTCATTTTTTTAACATGCTTCTTGGACTTTTTAAATACTGTGATAAAAACTAAAAATTTCATTCAAAGCTTCTTTTATATTTGCTCAGCAAAAGAGAAAATAAATGGATCTACCACTTAATGCTACATTTCGGGTCCAAACTGTTGCTGCTGTTGTTAGGGACCCTTGAGCCATTTCTGACTCCTGGCCACCTGCAGACGACAGACCCAAATGCTACCCGGCCTGCACCATCCTCACCACTGTTCCCACAGCCGAGCCCAGTGCTGCCTGCACTGTCAATGCCTCGCTGAGGGCCTTTCTCTCCTTCCCTGTGCCTCCACGCTACACAGCTTGATGTCCTTCTCCAGGGCCTGGTCTCTCCTGCCTGCATGTCCAAAGTCTACACTGGCGGACCAGCTCTCGCTCTCAGCACAACCAAAAGGAGCGAGGTCCTCTGCCTCGGCCAACAGGCTCACCCCAGAGGGAATGGGCAGGATAGGAGAATAATGAAGGCTAGGGATCCCCGGTGACTGAATGAGTCGGTGCTAGGAGTACTGCTCCTACTATTATTATTTGTGCAGCATGAAAAGTACACTCATCTCCACATTGTTACATTGTAAGTGACACTGAAATCAAGCTATTTAAAAGTGCTACCTTAAATCAATAAATATTATTCAAAAGCCATTAATGTTTACTTTCTCGCCTGGACCTGCATTTTTGAGACTACTGAGAATACCCGATGCTCCAAGTCTAGAAAAGCCCTGTCACTGTTTATCTATTCAAGGAAGTAGGAAGCGACATCTAAGTTTCACGGAGTTCTTTACCCCCAATCCACCCCCGGCACTGATGAGAGCTACATCTAAAACACTACTTTCATATTTACTTCATGTTTATAAAATCTTTACATGAAGGCAAAGAACGTTAGAATGAAAAACTTACATGTTCAGTTTTGCAAAGCTCTCCTGTGCGTTTTGCTTTTCTCGTTCATATGCACTTTCCACTTCTCGGAACTCATTTTTTATCATTTCCAAATCAGCCACAGCTTCTGCTTGGCTGGCCTTTTCCACTTGTAAAGCTCCTTCAAGGTCTCGAATCCGTAACTGCCAGGGAACAGAAGGGCAATTAAAGCAACTTAGGAAATGGTAGCCTCAATCTTAAAATGAGTAGGATATTTTCTCAACAGCAAGTTATTACCCATCCAAACACTTCTTTTTTCTGCTTTAGTTTAAAAAGAAAAACAAAACTCAATTTCTCAATGTGTCTAATGGAAAGGAAGAAAAATAAAAGAATGGAGCTGTATTATGAAAAAAGATGCGCTGATATTACACAGCTCCTCCTACAAAATTTAGACCTACTAATCCAATCAAACACTCATTTTATAAAACATGATAAAGTAAATGGTTTTTGAAAAGTGAGAGGAAGTATTCTTTTTTTTTTTTTTTTTGGAGAGGAAGTATTCTTCACTTAAGAGATCCCATATTACGTGGCCACATTTGTAAATCTATAAAAGCTAACAGTTCTTTTTATTCTTGAAGATTTCTGCCTATAGGAAATGAAAATTTTTATTACCAAAAAGCACTCTTTGAACTACTTATAGGACTAGTGATAGGATGTCTGGGATTTCGTTTCATAATAATCCAGGGGGTGGTGAGTGGGGGCGGGGGGTAACAATAATAAAATTGGATTGAATAAAACAGAGTTCAGTCAAACTGAGTGATGGATACACAAGGACTTTATTTTACCACTCTCTCTAGTTACACACATGCTTGACACTTTACATACCGGTAAAATATACATAAAATTTACATTTTTGAAAACTAGATTGTCTGTGTCCACCAACAGCACAAAGGATCTACAAAAGGATATTCCCACAAAATAATATGGAACTATTAAAAAAACTATTAAACAATGTTTAAAAGGAAGTTCTCTATATGATAAGACCCTCATGACAACGGTTTTCAACCTGTGGGTCATGACATCAAGGAACTAAAAATCAGATCAGTGGGCGCCCACCTTCCTGACATGATCACTGAAGACAAACGTGTGCATAAGCAAAGGTGGTGAAGAAAGCTAATGATGCCAGGCTAAAAAGATATAGCGTCTGGGGTCTTAAAGGCTTGAAG